AAACTATACCCAAAGTTAATAGCTCAAATAAAAACATATTGACATCATAAGGATGATCTGATGATACTATATTGATATGTAAACTTTCTATGGGACGAAGTTTAAATTCTTTAAATTGACGTACGAGCCTACCAAACTCCATACCATCGCTTATTAAAAAGCTACGTGGAATTTTCTTTTTAGTGAAGCTAGCTTCTTTAATCCATTCGGTTTTGCCTTGTCCCGATAAATCGGATGAAACACGTATAACATTTTGACATAGTTCTCCATAAATTTCTCTCATTGTAATAATGTTTAAACCGTTTGTTGCATGAACATCTAAAGAAAATTGATCTAAAATATGATTATGTATTCCAGTTTCTCTACAACAAATAAGTGCCAAAAGATAATCTTTTTCCTGATCATGAACTTCTCGCATTGACCTAATTTGATTCACTAAATTAAATTGAAGCTCATAGTCTAACAACTCTAGGTTTGCAATACAGAACAAGTGATTCTCATAATCATTATTTGAAGCAAGAAAACTTCGTTTAATGAAAATCGTGAGCTCTTCAATCGTAGTTGACGGGGTGCATTTTAAAAGTTGCCATGGTTTTGGATAAGATCCATGATTAGCAAATAACGACATGATGATATTAGAAACTAATGTTCTGTCGTTGCAAGCCGCAACGAATAATTTACCCTTCGTAACTATATCTGATTTTACGTGTTGCCCAAGTGCTTTAAGCTTACGAGATTGTTTTGGAACATTTCTAAAAATTCTTTCTAATTCATTACCAATTTCACAAAGCATTTCAAGATACTCATTAGATTCATGTGATAATTTTTGGACACACTCTCGAGGCGGTAACTTGGCTTTGCTGTTTACAAATTTAATCAACATTTTACATTCATCTTCATTTTCGTTATGTAACTTTTCTGATGCGAAATAATCGTAAAATGCTAAAATTTGACGGGAAGAGAAGAAAGTTAAGTAGTAACATCTCTCCTGTGCTTCATCCACTATTTTCTTCCTATAAATTGATAAGTAAGCTCGCTCATCAGACATTCTGTTAATAAATAAAACCATGCTAAAATTGAAATATATTTACCATTCACTAAGTTCATTTGTTAAATTTTTTAAGTAATTTTTCATACTTTCTGTTCCATGCAATTTTTGTTCGAATCTTCTATAACTAAAATGTCCCTTTTGGATCAACCCTGATCCCACGTTAAATATTTCTTGAGCGATATCAACTTGGGCAGTAAAATCATCTATAATTTTGGACATTTCCTTATCTTTATTATTTACTACACCATCATCATTTATCCTAACCGTGATTTTTAGTTTGGCAATTAAAAGAACTCGTCCACGTAAATCAACAATTTCATTTAAAGTATACTTCTTCTCGGTTTTAGAGGTATATTGTAATAATACTTTACATTTATCTCCCTCCATCTCATCGCGTTTAAAAACGTAAATTCCGTTTCTTATGGCATTCTTAATCTTTTCCTTAGTAACTCCTTCATAGTTCGAAATGCTATTGTACATGTTTTGTAATACCATAACATTTGATAAAATTTTAAACAAATCGCCATAAGTATCAAATTTATACTCCATGAAAAATTGCTTGGCTTGAATAATCGACGTTACCGTATCCTCTTGAACCAATTTTTCATCCGAGTGATCGTCTACTCCATTAATCAAATTCATAATTTCATGATCAGCAATATTTATTAAGAAGTTGATAAATTCATAAGCAATATTATTAACGAATTCAATAACATCATCAGTAATTGATAATTCTGTTATTAATTTCCAACAAGTTTCATTAGGGTTTCTTGCTAAGGATTCAAAAATACTATTAATTTGCCCAAGTTCAATGACACAATCTTCATCTTTTAAAATACGAATCGACTTCAATAGCCAATCCTTTACCTCTTTTACACGTAATACATTGAAAATACATGCAACCTGTTCAAGTTTTTCAATCCATTGAGGAATTTTCGAAAGATGATCAAGAGTCTTTATTAATTTATCGGTTTGACGGATAAAACCCATTAATTTAAGTTCCTTTTTAACATTCGTAACATTTATCCAATACAAAGAAGTATCTGAACATTTGAGTTTTTCCCAATCCTTAAATTGTCCAACAATTGTATTATATTTTTCAAAAACGATCGGTATCAATTTTTGCGCTATATATTCCACTTTGGTTGCAGGATCTGCCTGGTAACAAACTTCAAAGATAGTTAGAAATATTTTAGATTGATGATATTTGTAACAACGTCTCGCGCTATCTAAAGTTTTATCATGGAACACCGAATAATCTGGTTCAATTACTTGTTTCAAAATTGCTCCATCTGCAAATTGCAATTGTTGTAAATAATCATCTAAATCCAGAGCATTCGAACAAAATCTTTCATAAAACTTGAAAAGCATGTCGAATTGAAGTTGAAAATTCTTATATAACCCTCTAAGTTTTGCAATTTCATCTCGAGAGACGATCACATCACTTAAAGATTCCTTCCTGGCTACAGCTGCATTAAAATGAAAAAATAATTCATCATCTGAATATTTTAAAATTTGTTGTAATAATCTTATATCAATTGTTTTTTTAAGGAGTAATCCGCCAAGTTCGTTTATAGAAGCTTGAACACGCTGAACGAATGGGTTTGAATGAAGTTTTTCAACATTTCCAGTAGCGCATAATATAATTTTCCAAAATTTACTAGTTTTTAAAATGTTCAAATGATTTTCCGAAGATGTAAAAGATTGGCTTTGCAATTTAGCAATTATCAAGCATAAAACCTCTTCACTCATACTAACAATTATTCATAAAATAAAAATAAAAAAATTAGTAATCTTCAAGCTTAATAATTCATGAAGACAATCATAATGAAAAAACTTACGGATTTGGAACAATTAAAGGTTTGGTTCTTTTATCGCAATCGCAAATTATAAATAATTTATCTATTAACTGATCATCGATTTGAACGTTCTTGCTTAGTATTTCTTTTATCATCTCTAAAAATAATTTTTTGAATTCCATGCGTTGTATCTTCATTATTGATTTTGTTGCGGCAAATATTTGAGTTTCTGAACATCCCTTCACTCTTTTTATGGCAATGGAGGTTATCTCTTGCCAAAGATTCACCTTTTGACCAAGCAAAGGATACATACGTTCTAATTGTTGAATTACTAAAAAAATAAAGTTATTGTCACTACTGTCATTTGAAGCACTTTTCTTGTTTGTCCTCATCTTGATCAAAAAATGTGTAAACCAATTTACACAAATATTTGGTATCATTTTTCTAGAATCAATAAACCAGTCATTCAAAATTTCTGGAAAGATATTCAATAATTCAAAATTATTAGATTGTGATATAAGATCCAATGAAATTATGGCATAATCACTGCGCCAATTCAGACAACCATTTCGAAGTAATTTTTGTATAGCCGAGATATTTTGATCTGTCCACTTGCTATTTGGACTTTTAAGTAAATAAAAGACTCGATCACGAAAAGTGCTAGAAACATCATTTCGGCAGTTTCTAGGGAATTTTTTAAAATAGTTTTCTAAAGTAGCAGCATCACTTCCAGAAATATTCTCTTGGACTTGTTCAATAAAACACTTGAAAATACTTTTATCGGACGTGTCATTACATGACGAAAGCACTTCATTCCAAAGTTTAAGTAGTCCGTCCATATCATGACACAATTTTATTAACCACTTATAAAATTAAAATTAAGTTAATAGCTACACTTTCTCGAGAAAAATAATTATATTCAAATTACCTTAGCAAGTTTAATGTAAGTTTCAAACTTTACGTTGACAATATACGGCATAGTTCTTTTAACCTCTTTAATAAATTTTGATAATAATTTGTAATTAGGATACTTTAATGCTCTTAAACGATCAATGAAAGTATAATTAGGGTCAACTTCTGCAGCAATTGTAAAAATTTTGAGCCAATCAAATTCCATCTTAAAAGCATTATTATGGACTAAATTTGCAATAGCATTAGAAATTTGATCCCCGGTGGATGAAGGTAAAGTTTCTTTCGTATAGCCCTCGAAGGCATCAAGCAGTAACTTGGATGGAAATGCTTTTACTAATTCATAAAACGCACTTTGCCTTTGAATATAATACCCTAATAGAATACATAAGAAAAGTCGTTTTGCTCTTGATTCATCATTGATGTGATTGATAATAAATGTGAAATCTGACGCACGAATCGTAAGCTCGCGATGGACAGTTAATAAATGTTGGTATCCTGTAACTTTCTCTTTAATGTTTTCATCTTTGATAGAATCATAAATATGATCTACAAAAGCATAGTCGTGTATATCATCGTGGTATAAGCTATATTGTAATTCCCGAGTATTTGTCCATATGTCGAATTGATCATTTCTACTAAGTTTTAACGTACGATAATCACGAATACCATTTCCTTCGAATATAGTTGCTGCTTTTGTTGTTACATGGTTGCTAGGTACAAAAATAGCATATTTATATTGAATATCTTGAGTGATATTTGACATCGAAATAGTAACCGGATCAGATTGCCAATATGTTGGATTACGAGGTCGTTGAAAAAGTTTGATAATGGGATTTTTCCAAGAACCTAATTCTTTTACACTACCTAGAACTATGGGATGTCCAAAGTTTTTAATATTTTCTGGTAAATGAACATGAAACATAACATTGAATTCCATGTTAAGCAAATCGTAATAAAAGGAAAAGATAAGTTCAATAAATGTCAAGTAAAATTGGGATTATCTTTATCAGACTTAATTATATTATAAATTGCGCAGAAGAATAGGTGAGAAAAAATTTTTTTCTGACAATTATTTTCACATACACAAATTACTAAATGGTTACTAGTAGAATCTTTGTTTATGGGTGTAACTGTTAAAAGATGGGCGTATTTGATTTTGAACCTATTTTCCTAAAAGAGTATTGTGTTTTATGGTTTTAATTCAAAAAAGAAGGGTCTCCTGCATTTGATGATATTATTTAATATTTTTGTTCTCTTATTCGTAATCTTACAATTATTCTATTTAAAAAAATATATATATTAGAATTTATAAGTGTGTGCTAAAATAAAGACGCACACTAACTTGATAGATAATTCATGCAGGATAACTTTTGGGGACATCAGATAAAGGAAATTATAAATAAAAATTTGTGTTTGTGATACATCAAGTCCAAATACATCTGAAGAACTCATTCCATGATCAAGGGCTGAAAATTGATAATCAAAATACTGGCCATGATAAGAGCGTCATTTTTGCCATTTTTTTTTTAAGAAATGCTTTTACGGAATCTTTTTTTTTTTTTTTTTTTTTTTTTTTTTTTTTAGATATTACTGATGGCGTTTAAAAAAGAAAAATGATTTTTTAAATTTGTAGAGCGTCGAATTTTTTAAAAAATTATTTTACTACGGCGACGGAGATTTTTTTTTTTAAAATTTATTTTTTATTTTTTTTTGCTATAAAGGTGTTGGAAGTTTTTTTTTTTTTTAAAAAAAAAAAATAATTTACTAAGTTAAAGAATTTGTTTTAAATAATGTAATTTTTTTAAATTAATTTACTGCGGAGGCGACGAATTTTTTGCTAGTGGTGATTTTTTTTTTAAAAAAAAAAAATCTTTAAAATTTATTTAATAAAAGTAAAAAAAATCTCCTAATCAAATGAATATGAATTTCAATTAAAAATAATTTCATGTTTCTTTTCTTATTTTCAAACCAAATTTTTAAATCACTGCTAAAATCAAAATTTTCTACATCTGTTTCTTCTAATCAACCATCATTTACATATGTAATGTATCATTATTTAAGAATTACGTATTTAGTCTTAATTAAATTTTGTTTAAAATCACATTCACATTCTACACTAGAAAAAGAAATAGAATATACTATTGCTAATAATTTAATAATATTTGAAAAATGATTTAAATAATATTAAAATAAAAAATAATAAATAAGTAATTTTTTATTAATATATTTGTTAATTATTATGTATAAAATTATTTCAATCAATATGTGCATTATTAGAATTAATTATTGCTGATAGAAATAAATAAAGTGTAATTTTTCATAAAATTTAAACTCTTTATTACTAATTTATAATATATTAATTGTTATTATTTAATAATCCATCTGAAAATTAAATATTTTTATAGTATCAATAAAAGGATTATTTGGAAATTGTTTTAAATCTTTAAAATAATTGCAGATGTAATATTCATTATTAAATATTTTTTGATTTAATATTCAAATAAGTTTATATGATTCAATTTTATACTTTGTTCAAAAAAATAGTAATTAAAGATTGATTAAAATGATTATTTAATTAAAGATTGCCATTTTATCAATATTTAAATAAATTTTTTGAATTTTTATAAAGTTGTTTTAATTATTAAAATTTTTTTAAAAAAAAATTAATACCTTTATTTTTAAATTCAATTCTAGTTTTAAGTAATATATTAAATAATAGTTCTATTGTAAAATAAAAATTATTTTTATATCATATAAAAAGTAATAAATATCGAAATTTTTGAATTTTAAAGTAGGATTATTATGAATTTTAAATAAATATTAAATTGCTTACTTGAATTACTAAAAAATAAATAAAATTTATTTATCAATGATTTATATCCAAATTATAACTTGTAAAAAATTATTTACTTTAAATTTTACATAAATTACTTTTGTTTATTTTTATAAAAGTATTAATATAAATATTATAAACAAAATAATTTCTATTGGTTGTTCTTTCTTAGCTTATAAAATATTTTATTTATAATAAAAATTTTATAGCTTATTTATGAGAAAATGTCCAAAATTATAATATTTAAAATAAGATCATTTAATTACTAACTATTTTATTTTATAAAAGTATAAACATATTTTAGTTCACTTTATAAAATATATGTAATATATCTATTAATTATACATATTTTTATAGATTAACACATGTCTATTAATTAATATAAAGACTTACCATTATTAACAAAAAATAAAAGTTAAAGATTGTGACTCTATAGTAAATATATAAAGAATTTTTTAATATTAGAAAAAAGGCAAATACTTTGAATAATTTGATAATATACTTTTAAGATTATGATGATTATAATATAATTTTACTAATAAACTTTTTAATATTTTATAACTTTAAAATACTAAAGATTAAATTTTTATTATTCTGAATTTAAATATTATATAAGAGGTTTGCTAAGAAAAAGATGCTTTAAGATTAATTTCTATTTTTATATAATATAATAAACAAAATTTAAGCTTTAATGTTAAGACGATTTATTTTTATAATTTTAAATCATGTGATTTATATCATATATTTAAAATTATATTATATAATATATTAAATTTATATTGATCATTTTTTAAATCATTTCCAAATTCTATTTTAGCTTTTTATGTAAAAATAATTTCAATTGCTATTTATTTATTTTAATTCTAACGCGTGAAAGATTTTCTCAAATTTATTACTAATGCACAAATTAAAATTATAGAAAGATTCAATTGGTAGAGTTTATCAACTTCTTTTTCTTTTATGATCTTTATCAAAGGAATTGTTTCTACTAACCTCTTTAAATTTATTTACAACCATATTTTACACATGTCTACAGTTTTAGTTATATATTTCTCCCTAATGCATTATGTTTTTGAAGAATTCTAAAGATTCTGAATTGAAAGATGTATCATCCAATCTAACATCGAAAAAGCTGCAAATATTATCATTGATAGCAAAAATGAAGATTTGTTTCTTCTGGTTTTGATCTTTTTTATGATATTCCTAATATCAACAATAACTCTAATCCAATTGACACTATAGTACAACTTGAATCCTATTGGATAAATTTTTAGTATAGTAGTGATCAAGCCCACTTCTGCTTTTTTCATTTAATTTCTCAAAAATGATAGTTTTAACTTTATTAGAATTGATTTAGAGGAATGCAAGGCCAGTCTTTTTTAGATTAGTTTTTTTTTCTTTTCTTTACGAGATTTTCATTTTTTCTTCTTAATTTGTATTTTATTTTATATCTTACTTTTATCATAATAAAGATTATATAGAACTATCGCATTTTAATAATAAAAAAATAAAAATTATTTATTTATTTTAATGAAAAGATTCTTTCTGCTTTCACATAATGTCATGAAATAGCAAAAATAAAAATACTAATCATAATCACTCAGCATCACTAACAAGTTTGTAATAACTAATAAAAAGATAAAATACTTTATAGATAGTTGAATCAACAATACTTCTAGTAGTCCAAACAAACAATATCTCTCCAAAAAATAATATAAAAGTTGATAATACTTCTGTTGAAACTTCTTTAATAAATAACAAAGACAAAGAAAAAGAAATTACTTCAATCACTAATACAATTCTCCTAATATTATGAATGTTAATAATAGTTCAGACCTTTCAGAAAATAATATTATCACTAAAGAAGATATTCTTGCTTTTATGACCATCACCCTTTAAAAAATTTTTTCACATATTGTTTACTCGAAAAATACAAAAGTAGAAATCTTTAACAAAAATCGCTGATATTATTAATTAACATTGCATGAGCTACTTTTCTTTTTAGGAATAATCGTAATAAATCTTTTATTAATCCTAAGCAAACAATCTTCAAGCTTGCCTTTTTGAGCAGAAATAAATGAGACGCGTTCTGCAAAATGCAGATTTTCTAAATGGATAATATCACATTCCTTCTATTAGCTATTCAAAGACAAGCCTCTTATATTTTAGAACTCTCTATTATAGTAACTGAAATTCCACTTAATGCCACTGAACTACGCTTGAAAAAACTGTTTTCCAAATATAATAATATTACTTGTATTATCATGAAAACTCATAATCTGTGATAAAGAGCTATCATTATCTTTGACAAAGATGCTAATTTTACTGAAATTAATAAAGAAGATAGCATATATCTTTTAAATAATATAATTAGATTCTATCGTAGTAATGCTTCTTATGATATTATTCAAGAAAATCCAAAAACTCAATCAAACTTATCAACCTCTCATATAATACTACCTTATATAACCTTATAGATATTGGTCACTTAGTAGATAAAACAGCATGGATTGTTTTTCAGGCTAAATCTAATTATAATTACCTCTAATATACTTACTTCTACTTTGCTTTTGCTACAACATGTGAAGCAGCTAAGAAAATTGTTAATCTCATTCTTAATGGTAAAAAAGTTAAATAGATAGACTTTAAACAAAATTTATGTGTAATTTACTTATCTGTTTACTATAATACTATAACTTATCTAAAATGAAGACAAACCCCTAAGGACCATAATATAAAACAACTCTACTAATAGTTTCAACTAGTATAGTTTAATAAGTATACTGCTTCTAAGAAACAACTACAATAAAACGCAATCAGAAATAATGTCACTTTTATTGATACTATCAAGTCTAAATCAAATAACACCCAATATGATAAAGGTATAATTAAACCTCTATAGCCTTAAAAGCTTTTGAATAACAATAATAGTATTCCTAAGAAATCAGGATCTCAAAAATCCAGTTGCCACTGGACTGATAAATTACCAGACTATATGGATTTTAAAATATTCAGTGATTATAGTAGTAGCTATAAAAATCTAACTGATTTTAAACAAAATAACAAAGATCTTTCAAAAGGAATAGCTCAAGGAGAATTGATATATAATCTGAACTTAAAATGCTTATTATATCATAACTTAAGACTATTACAAAGCAATTTATGATTCTCACATCAGCCTTTACCTTTTCTCAAAATAGATTTAATATCTTAGAAAAAGTTCTCAATATCAAAGTGATCACTACAATAGAAGCTGACGTATATAACCTAACACTCTCTCCTAAAATTTCAATTGCAAAAAAAATATCTCTGCATTTCGATGCCCCAATGTGTTCTACTCCTTTTTAAAAAGACAAATGAACAACTAATTATGATTTGCCACTAATAATAATAATGTATTTTCTCATTTACCAATATCATTAATAATCTTTTTAGTACATGTGCTATTATCAACAAGTACTCATCAACAAAGGTTTATTAAATTCTCATAATGTTTAATCATTCATCCTATCACTAATACCTTAGATAAACAAATTAAAAGCTACCTTAGTAGCTTCCCACAATAAATTCTCATATATTATAAATACTATCTTTACTGTGAAAAGCATTGACACAAATA